CCCCAAAACCCCAAAACCCCAAAACCCCTTTTCCCTTTAAAATCCCGAATTCCAGTCAGTCAATTCCTCATAATTAACTTCCGTTAAATCTTAAGTTTCTTCTGGATTCTATCTTAACAACTTCTAATTTCTCACTTTGACAACGATAGATCTACATATAGGGCACCGTTTGTCCCTCTGGAGAGAGCCTGAGGCATTCTGCATGGAACTCGTGCTTGCACTCAATAGGGTATACTTTGTCTGTACTTGAGATATAATCCTGTCAGATAGCTCAATTCGTTCCTAAACCTTCACAAGCATTAACCTCACACCCCAAAATCCCTACCTTATCCTTCATTCCCTCAAAACTCCCCAGTCATCCCTTAACATTACTCTCAAGTTCAAACACACTCTTCTGAATTTCCGAAATCTAAAAATTTATCTAAAATTTCCCTGAAAAGAGACTTCAAGCCATTCTTTTAGCAGATAGGGAGTGAAATTAGGAATCTTTGAGATAGTAATTGGAGAGAGGTATTATGGGTTTGAAGCTTTATGTGCAATTTATGGATGAGGAGTTGTTTAAGTATTTTAATGATCGATGTTTTTAATTTTGGAGTTGTTTCATTTAAATAACTCTTTAAAATTGTAGAATTAATTCTAAAATAGGAGAAAATTAAAAGTAAGTCTTTTGGGAACGCTAAATACCAAATATTTTGTTGATAAATATATTTCAAGATATCATAGATAGAGAAAGTTGCCTGGAAATTATCCCATACAGTTCTTAAGGTACTAGAAGAAAGCTAAATCTAGCATATAGCTTCACTTTGCTTTTTATCTTCAAATATTTTGGGTTACAGTAAGCAAATCAAAATTAAAACCAGAATCTTATCAATTCCAAGACTCTCTAGCATCCATCAATCCATATTACCAACCTCATAACCTCAACCAACTTACTAAGCATCCTTCTCTGATCATCTTCTGCATTAGAATCCACCAAATACCGTCCATACCTTGATCATCTTCAAACTCTCAATTAATCCACCTTATCCTCCTTCTCTCCCTACACATAAGCCATTAGCCCTACGCTTGGTCTCTTCTTTTCTCCCTATTCTCTCTCTGACGGCTTCTTTGGTTCTCACGTTCTCTGAGTTTTCTTCTTTTGGCACGTTGTTTTCTGTCGGATTGCTGGGAAGGGATTTCGGAGGATGATGATTCTGAGGATTGGGAGCTTGATGGGGTATATACTAATACAACATATTCTATCCAAAAAACATTAAAAAGAAAGTCTTTACAAAAGAATCTCTCTAAACAATGTCCTTAACCCAATAAAACCTCCCAAAAAACACCTCATTCAACCCCCATCCCCTTCACCCTCACCCAACTCCTCCCCTCTACACCCTCTCTACCCCCTTCTCCTCCTCCATCTTCCTCCTCATTCTCTCTTCCCTACAAATCCACACTCCAAAATTACCTTTTCCTTTCTTCCTCTCTTTCCAGTCGTTCTTGAGTCCTTCTTCTCTTCTGTCTCTCTTTTCTTCAGTGCATCTCTAATTCAGAGGGGAGAAGGTGTCTGTTTGGGTTTTTTCAGAAGAGTTTTGGGGAGGTACTTAGTCCAAATAACTGTCAATGTGAAAGAATGAATTATCCAAAGAACACGAAAAATTACTAAAATTTTAATTTCAAAACTTCAAAATATCAACTGAATGAATGTAGTTAAAAAATTTATCAACGAGCAAAAATACCTGAATAACTATCTCAAACAACTCTACAACTGGAAGACTATCGCAAAACTTGGTATAGAGTCTAATTTTTCATTTTCTCCAAATATTTCCTGATGAATGTAAACAAATTGAGGGCCAAAAAGGTAAAAATTTTAGATGATCTATCCCATAATTTTCTTACTCAAATATTTTAACTTCAAACAACTTACTCCCTATTCTTCCGATCTCATCATCAACCTTAGAACCATCTGGAAAATGCCATAAATCTCTCCCATATCTAAACCACAAAATAACCCCACAGCCCTCTACCCCAATCCAAACACCAACCCCCAAAATCCACCCCCACTAACCCCCTTCTGCATACCTTGCTCCACTTCAAACTCCCTATTCCTCCACCTTATCCTCCTTCTCTCCCTACGCATAATCCCCAACCTTACACTTCTTGCCTTCTTTTCTCCCTATTATCTCTCTGCCTTCTTAATACATTCTCCTTTTCTTGTTTCTTCCTTTTCTTCTCACGTTCAAGTCTTCTCTTCTTTTGTTAGTGGCTTTCTGGATTTCTGTTCTTTTTGGGAGACTTTTTTTTTGTTCTTTGGGATTTTTTCTTTGTTGGTGGGTGAGGCTTAGTGGGGTGATATTGCCTGTTTGTGTTCTTCAGGGGGAGATGGGCTTGGAGGTGGTGGGGGTTTGAGTGGCTTGAGCGTTTATGGCAAGGATGTTTTGGATTATGAGTTGGTCTTCGGAGGAGATTTGGTAAGGGAAGCTGGAGAGGATTAGGGGGATGAGCTGGAGAGGGTCTGGTGCTTGGGAAGGGTGAGGGATTAAGGCTGTTATGGAAGGACCGGAGGGAGATAAGGTGTTGTTTGGTTGGGGGTTACAGGTTAGGAGTGTTGGGATTTAGAATATATTGATGGATTTGAAATAAAGTGCTGTTTTGAGGTGTTAATGGTCGATATACCTGCCCCTACCACCATCCAAGTCAACGGGTTCAAATACCGAACCCATCCATTCCTCATCATACAATCCCAAATTCCAAAGTACAAAAGGTACAAATAATCTTCCAAATACACTGTGACCAGCATGACTACCTGTTCGAACACTTATTGGCCTCTACAATGAGGAGGTATACTGAGAGACTTGTGCAGGTGATTGTGTAATTTGGCCAATTGCAGAATCTCTTCCAAAGATAGATGTATTTCCTATTTTCAAAAGCACAAGAATATACGGACTTCAACAGAGTACAAGCATCCCAGTTTAGAATCAACCAATATTGAGGTTTCAGAAGTAGGGAAGAGATTATTTATGCGTAGCCTCTAGTTCTTACTGGTTTAAGGTGCTCAAAGATTGTCAGAAATCTAGCAGCATTCATAAAAATTTGAAAAGATATTGAAAATAACGACTGACAGACACCGGAACTGGGTTTTAAGCATAAAATTTAGCATTGTTTTAATTTAATAAATATTACACTAATAATTTTCAATTTGTAACCTTTCTTCTAGCAATAACAAAATCAACTCTACCATCAGGATTTGAGTTTTGGTTAGATCCTTCATAAGATATAGAGTGAGAGAGAATTGGTTTTCATCTTTTAGGCTGAGTTTTACAAGGATCACTTGAGAAATCATACTTATACTGCAATTTCAGATTTGTTCTATGACAATCGGAAGAAGAACATTAAGGTGAGGAACCCGATGTACCACTTCACCACCACATACAACTCAATCAGTCCTTTCTCTTCTATACAAATGTCAGTTCCCAACCTTAACCTCCCACCCATCCCCATCTTTATCTCCCTTAAGCCCTAACAAGCTAAACTAGTAGTTCTAATCCTTCTTTAGAACCCTTCAGAATTACCGAAGAAGGAATCTCAGAGCTTACCTGCAGAAATAAACCTATAGCAGAGTAGTATTCAGATCAGGAAGAAAGTAAGCAAATAGTGCAAGAACATGTATCTCTGCATGCACTTTTCTCAAAATTCCTTCGTTCCTATTTTAAATAATTATCAACATTATTTTAATCCTTCGGGGTTTTGGGGTTTTGGGGTTTTGGGGTTTTGGGG